CACACACACACACACACACACACACACACACACACACACACACACACACACACACACACACACACACACACACACACACACACACACGTGTGGATGGAGGAGCACAGTCCCGGCGGATGCAGAGGGACAGCAGCTGAGAGGCGACAAGCGAGATGAGATGCATAGCAGTAGGTGGAGGGAGAAGGTGCGAGAAGGGAAAACAAGTTTGGCGAAGAAGGAGAATTTATAGTGAAGATTAAAACGGATCGAAGAAGAACGGCGCGTGAACAGTGAAGAGGTCAGGCAGCTTGGCGTTGGCGGGGGCGTGACCTTGGAGACAAACTCACTAACCCCTCTGTGCAGAAGTAAAAGAATAAAATAAATGGGCAGTTTTGGTTTGTGTGGATGTGTGTGTGTGTGCACATCTAGCACTCAGCACAACACATGGCTGCATATTGATTGGTTTCTGCCTTTTTCTTTTTTATTCCTCCGAGTGAATAGCAAGGCTAAAAGGTGGGCAAACGAAAAACAGCATTAATGTTTTATCATCCAATCTCGCTCCAGAACAGAGAGGAGCACAAGCAGGAAGCAAATGAGGAGATGAGGCTAGAGAAAAAAAAAGTATGAACGGCTAAGCTGCAGAAGGCAGAAAAGAAAGGTCAGTCTAAGAGGGTTTATGACAGGAGGAGCCACAGAAAATTCTCTCCTGAAAGCATTTTGAGATTATCTTAATGTATTAGTCACTCTGTCATTTAAAAAAAAAGTCTACATGGTCACATTGAACATCTCGCGCTGTCCAGGCAGAGCAGAAGACGGTGCTCATTCATCTTTTCACCCTTATTTAGTAATAGTTCAACCTCGGCCGTTTGCATCCTGTCTCCGTGATTCTTAACTCTCCTTGGAGAGGAGGCAGACCCACACAAAACACATTAAACAGAACTAGCTCTCAATTTAGACCTGAACAATTTATCTTGCAATTTTAACCTGCAGCGATGTACCAAAGGGTTGAGGGCCCGATAGTGATCTTTAAGGAGCTGTTTGCAATCACAAAGAGAAGGGTGTAATCAGGCGTGCTCTGGCTGAGTGGATCAATCCGCCGCCTTTTTCTTTTTTTCATGCTGCTAAATCTTCATTGATCTTGCAAACATTCAGTACCACGGGCAAACAACCTTCTTATTCTTATCCCTGCTTTCTTCCCTTTTTTCCCCCACAGCTTTTTCCCTGTTAGCCTGCTTGACTCCCCTCTTCTCCACACCTCACCCCTGATCCTCTCTGTCCGTTTCCTGGAGATCAGCTAAAAGCAAATTTGAACTTTTTTAAGGTACTGACCTGAGAGGGAACTTTTCTCCAGGATCCCGCCCCAGGTGGAAAATGAGTGGCTGGAGTGTGTGCTCCTTCTGCTCGTGAGTAGTCACATTTGGCACCTCTTCACCTGGACAGAAGTTTATGCCCTGTAAAACATATGACACGTGTTATTAAGCACACTGATCTGAGCTACAGGTAAAGTCCTTCACCTAGACTGCCTGTACTTTAATCTACCCCAGAATAAGTATTCTACAATTGATTCCATTTGTTTTAAAATCAACATTTTAAAGCAGTGGAACCTTTCTTCTGTCTATATTTTCCAGTTTATATGCCTGCTGAAGCATCAGTTCACCAAACACAAATCGATACTCGTGTGGCAGCAGCACGGCCGCTGCCGCCTGTGCTTATTCTTGTAGAAGACTAATCTATGACACAAAAAGCAGACCTGCCTGAAATACTATCCTAAATTAAACATGAAACATAATATCTGAAGAAATAGAATATTTGCTTTGGCTCGTATTGCACCACATAAATGACACTTAAGACATCGTGAAAATAAGGATCTCAGTAATGTGATTACAATTTGTCTTTAAGTTTGATGGTTAAAGATGTTTTTATGCGCTTCATCATGTCCAATTAAAAAAACAAAAAACACTGCACTAAGCTCGGCAGGAGAGATGTGAGTGTTTAGGTTTAGGCTTGCAGCCACCTGCTGCCAAGAGCTGAATGCTTAATCTCATTGTAGTATGGGTTATATGCATATTGTCTTCCAATCTGCTGTGTTATTTGTGCTCCTGTTGGTACACCGTGAAGGCTTTCTCGCAAAACAGAGAAATTTTGCTGCCTCCTCTTCATCTCTCCACGCCTTCGCTCCTGCTCCCTGACTCTATTTCTCAGGAGCCTGGCAGTGATCGCAGCCTGATTGAGTCACACTCACTCCTCCAGAACCCCCTGGAGATCTGCCTCCTCCTTTAATACACACATAAGCACACGCACGCACAAACAAACTCACACTTTTGCTTTTTTTTTTGATGAGCACAACTAATATTGAAAAAGCATTCATCTGTAAGACACTGTTGCTGCCCCCCCTCTGAGATCACTCAACGGAGCACCTCAAAATACATATAGAAGAGAGAGAAAGAGTGAGAGTGAAGATAGATACCCCCCGCCCTGCAGAGCTTCCACTGATCCAGACTTGTCCTGCCTTTTAAAGTCAACTGCTTAGAAATGCAGAAAAGAATCAGGGGGGCAAAAAAAACATCCCAGAGGAGCAGCAAGAAAGGCCTGCTGTGTGTATCTGTCTGACTTTTTCTCTTGTAGCCAAGATATTAGAGCAAGAACTCCATATCTCACATGACATTAATGCTATGGATACAGCAAGGCTGCTTTTAAACTGGAGCACCGTGGTTGTCATTACAAGATAAGGTGCAGGAGCATCCATGGGTGGGAGCGTGGATTTTGGGGATGGGAATGAGGAAAAAGTATTTGATTTGGCTGGAATGTTTTATGTAGACTGGACAATGTTTAAATATATTCTTTCTTTCACATACTGAATATTTGACTATTCTGAACAGCAATTTAAAGAACAGAAACAGGTAAAGATAGTAAAATGTATTTGACAAAAAAAACATTTAAAAACTGTTAAAAAAAATTTTTTTTTCCTTCATACCAATCAAACCTCTCATGAACCCTCAGATCTGTGTTATGGCCATTGTAGTTGGTGATAGTAAACAACTTAACTTTAAGTTGACTGGAGTATTTGCATTTGCTCTATCTTAACAAGCATTGAAACCGAGCTAAAACAGGACATTTTTGCATGTACATCAGTTGTGAGTGATTAAGAGAGCTTCAACTAACACAACAGGAGAATTTCTATGCTGGATTCATGTAAATAAATGATTGGACTACAACAAAATCCTAGTTTTACTGTCACAAAGGAAATCCATCCTCTTGCAAGAAGCAGCTTAGTTTTGCTGCTACAGGTGGTTTTACACCTTCTCAATAACATTTTGCTTTCACATCGTTGTGGAGGAATTTTGGTCCACTCTTATTTACAAGGTTGCTTCCATTCATTGAAGTTTGCAGCCATTCATTTATTGATTTATTAAAATTCATTTATGTGAATTTATACATTTTACCGAGGTTTGAATTTTGTCTGGGCCATTACGATGCATGCACATTTGACATACTTCGGTATACAGAGGAGTGACTGCAAGGTGTCCAGGTCCAGTGGCTGCAAAACAAACCCAAATCCTCACCCCCTCCACCACCGTGCTTGACAGTTGGTATGAGGTATTTGTAATGGTAATGGCGTGATTGGTTTTCACCAAATGTGGTGCAGTGCATTATGGGTAAACATCTCCACTTTGGCGCTGTCTGTTTAATTGACATTATTCCAAACATCTTGTGGTTTGTTCAGGTTTAACAAGCTGTGTTCCCATGTTCTTTTTACAGAGAAGAGACTTTCTCTCCACGGCAGGCTTCCCAAACAAACCATACTTGTTCAGCCTTTTTGTAATTGTACTGTTATGAACATTTAAGATGCTAACTAAGACCTGTAGAGTCTCAGATGTAGGTTGCAGATTTTTTGGTCTTTGAGCATTGCATGGCCTGACCTTGGGGTGAATCTGCTGGGACGTCCACTGCTGGGAAGATTGGCAGCTGTCTTAAATGTTTTCCACCTGTGAATAATCTTTCTCAGTGCAGATTGATGGACTTCAAATTGTTTGGAAATGTCCTTTTAACCCTTCCCAGATTGATTGGCAGCAATAATTGCTTCTCTATTGCTGATATCTTTCCTCCTTGGCATTGTGTTAACACTCACCAGAATGCTCAAGACGTGCAAACTGGCAAAAGTGTAATATGCTATGTGTTATTTTTCATATGTGGTTGCCTTGCTTTAAGACTCGCTAAGGACCAGATTATTTTTATTATGTCCTGATTTGTAAAACCTTTGAATTTAAAGAGGGTGTGCTTTACTGTTCTCATTCTGCAGAATGAAGGCAAAACATCTAAAAGAAACAACTCCAACCAAAACACGTTACTGACTGGAGGGAAGCTCCAAGTATGATAATTTATTTGTGCTTTTACTTGAATGAACAATAATTTCTGCTGCCTGGGGTTTGTCAGTCAATACAATAACATGATGCTATGAGGAATCACGGGAGTTATTGTCTTTTTCAACATTTCTGATGAAATGATGCGACTTGAGCTGAGTTTATTACAGTTTCATTCACACTATTTTTTATTCTAATAAATCTTTTATTTAATATAGATCAAAAGGCAACAAGTAGCATTAGCTGCAGTAACATTAACTGCTAACCTAGCATCAGATGAGTTGACTGCTTAAGCTGTTACTTGAGCTAATGTTATATCCGATGCTCAGAATAACTTAGTGAATATTTGAATTACTTTAAGCTTATTGTCACCATTATTAACAAGTGTTTACAGTGTTAGAGTAACCAGAGAGTGTAAAATGATGTGACAGGTTCTTTTTTGAACATTGTTGGAAATATTTGGACACCATCATATGTGCTTTCATTCTTTCATTTATGAATTAGTACTTTTACTAAATTAAAGACTGACTGTGTTTTTTTCACCAGTGTGCATTAAAGTGTGTTAATGTAAAAAAAACAAATTCTAAAACTTATAATTCAAGTTTAAAGTACATCAGCTATGGCACAGCCTAATTCTTGTCAATTTCTTCAGTTTCAGTGATGCCAAGAAAGAGGTATTCCCACTACACTTGTCGCAAAAAAATGTCCTTTTTCAGTTTTTGCCATATGAAGCATTCAGCAAGGCTACTCACAGTTGCATAGGTTACTCAGCAATCCAGATAAAAGGGAGACACAGTCACGAGAAACTATGTTTCACAATATTAACATCAATACGCTGCCTCAAAAGAATTTGATGAGAGGCATTTAAGCCTGTGAAATTTCTCATTTTCCTCATGGCTGAGCAGCACAGACTCAGCCAGGACAGAGCAACACGTCTCCCAGCCATTAACCTGTAATTTCATTCTTCTTTAGAGACACACATCTTCCTTCCTTGTTTATTTTTCAGCAAGGAGCACAAAAAAAGCCAAATTGTACTGCAGCACATTACTTACAAAGCAGCAATACACGTTTCATTTCAGTGAGGAGTGGATCTCATTGTGTATCACTATCATGAGACGGGTTAATCCTCAGTGTATATGGGGTGGGTTATCTTTAACATGAGTTTAGTAGGAATGATCAATTCCAAAGAAAGTAGAGCATTACCTTTAAAGCAGATGTATGAAAAGTGAATGTGGGCAACACAAGAAGAAACAGTTTAGGAGTTCATAATGACATCGGAGATTTGTCTTGTAGGAGCTCAACCGTCAGTCAGCGAAACAGACTAGACACGCACGTCTGTACAAAGAAGCCCGGACATGTATGTGCATGTTTTTTTTCATTCTGTCTTTTCTCTCTCCCATGTGCACACACACACACACACACAAATACCAATCGATAGGCAACTCACAGGCAATCAGACGCCATTATTTGTGAAGTTCCACTTCAGTTCACATGAGTTGATAAAGGAGGCTACTATTGATTCAGCGGCCCTGAAGGAGAGAGCAATTTAAGCAACCGATGGGGCATAAAACAAACTGGATCACAGGAAAGGCATAGCCATGGAGGGAGGACAGAAGGACATGTTTTTATAGATGGGCCCGGGGTAGCCAGGGAAAAAAGAAAAAGAAAAAGAAAACGCACTATACTTTAGCTTCTCAGGTGCCAGATTTCACATCTCTATTGATATTTTTAATCCGCACTGAGTTGATGTAATTATGCCTGAGCGCTATGATGCCAAAAGAACAAGCAGGTAATGACGATATGTAAATTTGG